GGATATTCAGCCTTGCACAAGCTGTAAATCACAGCTTGCTTTTCGATCAAGGCAGTTTGCAACTTTTCCAGTTGCTCTGACCAATGCCGCATCGCCTACCGACCATCTTGCTAACTACCTTGACATTATTCGCCAGTTCTGCCGGCAAAAGCAACTGCTAGCGAATGTCCTGGTGTGCAACGAGTATTCTCATCTTGTCCCCAATGTCACCGTTCCTGGACCTCGTAGAGGTTTGTTGAGATAAAAATATTGTAAAAATTCAAATCAAAAGTTAAAACAATTTTTACCGCTCTGTGGCGAAGTGCTGGGACTCAAAATATTCGCAGAGTTCCCTTTTTTTGCGCTACTCCTCGTTTCCTCAGCAAAAACAAACGGTCTTAGAACAGCAGCTTCATCAGTTGTTGGTACACAGATTGCTCCTTCCTAGTTTAAGCACAGCATAAATTTTATGGGAAAAAGGAAAGATTCACATTCTTTTCACCAAAGTTTAAGTACGATTCTCACGTCTGCTTATGCCATAATCCAGCAAATATACATCAACAACAAAAATTACCAGATCGTCATCAGCTGGCGGGAAGACATGCTTTCGCAGCCTGCCTTGTCTCGATGCTGAATATAAGCAGCTGCATGTTTGACCCTGCACCCGTACATTTTGCCAACACAAATCCAACAAAACATCATTCTCACACTAGAAATTTAGAAATAAAAAATAAACGGCATTCAGAAATTATAACTATTTCAGATATTCTGTGCATAGCAATCTTCGGATTATGCCATTTATTAAACCAATCATCGAAGAAACTTCATTATTACCACTAGGCACTCATGCTATATTAGCATGACTGTTCTAGTAACTTGTCTTCTCCGCTATCTTATGATCACTGCCTTCAATCACGTCGCACTCAAGGAATGGCAACGTTCGGTACCACTCGGTGATGTTCAATACAGAACATGAAGATTTCGAGACGCTTGAAGCCAAGTCAAACGCTTTTGTTAAAAGAAGTGCTGCGCTTGCGAAGACAAAATAAACAACAGGACTGGTAGCAGGCTAACCATTCGGTGATGCGGCACTGATCAATGCAACCGGAGCAAGGGCTATAAATTACAGCTAACTCAAGTATCCCACGCAATTCCACTGCTTTGCTGCCCTTACCAACTTCAACACTTTACTACTAATATCTTATATTGTGCTGTGGTGCAAAAATATGTCTGAAATGCACAGGATGCCAACTGCAGGTGCGTAGCCCAGGCTCAAAAATGTCGGATTTGCCGGCTTCCGGCATATGCATACATCCCATCAGCGCCATTAACATGGGATGCTCAGAGTGATAGGTCCGGCGGTTCTGGTATCTTCACGCCATAACTATTAATTTGTCTGTTGCTGATTTGCTGTTTTAAAAAGTGCAGTGCGAAACGTAAAATTACGAATGACTGCAAAAGCTGTTTCATCTCACTCAGGCAACTTTGAAAAGTAACATTAAACTGGAAAGCAAAAGAAATTCTTTAAGCTCAACTAACTTTAACAACTTGGATGATCTGAAGGCTACTCGTTTTCCAGACGCTCAGTGCACTGTTCTCCGTTGGCTGCCCGTGCGGTACCGGAATCGACGCAAAATCGTTGCCACCATTCTGAAATCAAAAGCCAGTAGGATCGTAGGTGATCGCTCGAGCTTACTCCGAGGGAACAGCTAGCCTGTCATTGTTGCTGGCCATCTTTACCGAAAGCAAGTGTTGACTACGATTTACATCAGACCACAGAGTCTGAATAGCTGCAGCCAAAGTTATGGGACTATCAGAGACTCCGCTGTCTTTCGGTTCCAAAACAGAACACGAACCTGCAGTAAATACTCAGAATTGTTGTAAAAGCTGTACGCCACTGTCTAGTTCCCCAAACTCTTTCATTTGTTTCGGCGAATGCTGCATTGCCTGGTGCTTAAATGACTGGCAATTATAACGTTTCTTTCGTCCCTTTGAGGAATTAACGGCTAACGGTTCTTCCAGCAGACGCACAAGGCAAGACCAAACATTCCGAGATGTTCTGATATTCTAAGTATCACTCTCTCGCCCTAAGTTTGCCCCTTCTAGACTACGATAAAAACCTTACCGATGAGAAGTTTTAATGAATAAAATAAAGAAAAACAGTTTAGTCAACGTTTAGTCCCAACAACCCACTGTTTCCAAATGATTCAACAAGGCAGTCAACTTACTGAAAATTTGATTTTCCAGACTGCAGATGGCAGCATGCCCAATGAATGCCGTGGCTTCGCCAAATCGCTACAGTTCCACATCTGTGTTTCTAATTGCTAACCAGGCAGCACATAATGAAAAATATACCAAACCCAGGCTGAAACGCACCAGGCGGGCCGGTGCGATTATGCGCTTTTGCACTTTTCGTGCCGTAGCAACATCGCAGGAATCAAGGTAGTCAACCCTGTGAAATACTGGCCCTCGAAGTTCGGGAAGTTAATTGTGCAACTATGTGGTATGTCAATT